CACTGCTTGCTCACTTAGAGTTCGAGAAAGGGGGTGCCGTAGCACTTCCCAATTGCCCACGGGGTTATGATGTGGCTTGCAAGGAGCTCTTTTGTATTACTTCTTCATGAAGCAAGTTGTGTTTAGTGTGACTCATTATTTCTTTATCACATGCCTCGTATGTGGTGATGTGGCAATCCCTCTAAGTGGAAAAAGTGTAAATGTGTTCAGTAAAAATCATAAGCTGTAAATCACATAATAATAATATAAGAATATGCAATACCATATATGATTTTCGTACAATTTACAAGTTTTAATATGTTTATTGGACACATTCCAAGTAAATGTTCACTGGGGTCTATACTTCATTTCACCCTTCGTCCGAGCGCGGCGGACGCTACCAGCCAATCCAGCGTCAAGAGAGCGTCATGTGACCTTGAACTCCACATAACCAAAACGTCACATGATACTCTCCCGGCGCCCGATTGGCTGGGCTGGCCCAGCATCCACTGGGTCACCCCAGCAGGTGCCCATTTCACGCCAAGCACCCTTTACCAAGGGTGTTAGCAAGCACCCTTTGTGAAGGATGCTTGCCTGAACGCCATAAGGGTGTTGGCCAAGGGACTAACTGATTTACACCCTTAAGTGTGTAAAAACCTTTACTGTGTACTCAAGGCTACTCTTTCCCATTAGTGCCAGTAAGCTTGTGTAAAGTGAAAAATATTGTAACTGAACAGTAGAGAGTTTTAGTAGATCGCTCCCATGACTCCGATAACGATACCCGATACTCCGCCACCGCATCCCTTGCGTATGCATGGTATCGTTATCGGGGCTATCGGAGGTATCGGAACGATCTACTAAAACTCTATTGTTCCACTGTCCCTTCACCTAAAGTTGCTTCTTTTTTTTTTTTTACTGCTGCACTACCGGGTGATTTTAATGGTGGGACAACATACCATCCCTGAACAAACGACGACTGGAATGGTGGTCGCAACCAGCGTCGTAAGACAGTACTCAAAAAGTCCAATAAATATTGAGCAGCCTTGCAGCAGCTTCGCGTGTCATTACTGTGTAAGAGTTTCTGGGGTTGAGTTCTCAAACTTGACCTCCCGAAACTCTTGACAGTCTTCTGAGGAACACCCAAATTTTCTGGTAGTCTATGATAAATTATGTATTAAGTGTATAACTACAGCCACTTTCGGCCAGTAACTGGCCGGAAGTCAATGGCCAGTGGCTGGCCAAACGTGAATGGCCAGTGGCTGGCCAAAGGTGAATGGCAAGTCACTGGCATAAAGTGAATGGCCAGTCACTGGCCAAAGGTGAATGGCCAGCCACTGAACAAAGGTGAATGGTCAGTCACTGGCCTAAAGTGAATGGCCAGTCACTGGCCTAAAGTGAATGGCCAGCGACTGGCATAAAGTGAATGGCAAGTCACCAGACGAGGACGAAAACACTTCTATTGCCGAGCACTTTGGCCAAGCTTGGGCCATCGAAAATCTGGTTGGGCATAGTACACTTGCCAGCGATGGCCCATTCACAACGTGCTGCTTGGGATAGTAATGTGGTGGAAACTCATGAATATGAAATCACCCCCCCAAAGAAAACAGACTGAATTTCGGTTCCAAGAACCTGTGCGCCCGGCTCCAGACGACGAGGAGGCGGATTCTCTCTACAAGATTTTAGACTGGTTGGATAAATGGGGAAAAATGCCAACAACTGTGAATTGTCCGAAAAAAAAAAACTCATAATGCACAACAACAGTCAATTTACGCGCTCTCGAAATATGCAGGTACTGCTTCGAAGAACTCAAGCTGTCCAACGTTCTCATCGCGAAATTTCAGTCTGAAAGTTTAGAGGATTGCTTTGGAAGGTACCGGCGGCTGGCAGGTTTTCAATACCTTGTGTCTATACGACAGCTTTATGAAAGAGGAAACAAGCTGCTTCGGCAAAACACACTTGAACCGATTGGCAAAGGTTCCTGAACAGACAGAGATGAGAAATGAGAGGATATGAAAAAGTGAGGAGGCGCGTCGCGTTCTCGCTACAACTTAGTTGTAACAGAAGACGACCTTCCAAAAATTAAAGACATCGTCCCCTTTCCAGCGTATGGGGCCGGATGTGTGGCGTGCGCGACGGTGAAGAAGCTAAAGTGTGAGAACTGCAAAAGTTTCCTGACCACAGACCGCACGATTCCAGCTTCCACCGGCCAAGAGCACTACCCTCTCATCAAATAAATTGACAGAGGAAGCCTTCTGAACCCAGCAATGACCGCTATCGTACATAACAACTTTTTTGTTAAGAGAATTTGAAGCGGGTGGACTTCTCAACGACGAGTAACCAACGCGAGCTGGTCGCGGACCTCACACTGGACTTGCTGATCGACGAGGATTGCTTCGACTTCGATGTGTGTGAACAAGGACACACGAGTAGGGTCGTGCTGAAGCATGTGTTGTGGTGCTTTACAAACATTCTACTAAGAATACTTTTGCAACAAGCTCAGCGTCAAAGTTGTCGAAACAAACAACAAATCTAAGGAATCTGGCCACGCTTACAAAAAAAAAATTATGTCAATATCCTAGCATGCACAGTCAGCACATTTTTTTTTTCAGATTTTTAACGCACGAGTCAATAAACACGCGTTTGTGCTGAAAAACTGAAGTGGTATCGATAATCATTCGCATTTTCACACCAATAGCCTTATTGTGCGTTTACACTTGTGGATTCTCGGGTGGGTCCGCGCCGGCGGCGAGCGGACTTCGGAGCCAGGGTAGTGAAATCCCGCATCGCTGATGGAAAACTTGTATTGGTCCTCGATCCATATCCATATTTCCCGCCGGCAACGAGTCCATTTCGCCACCCGGTTCCAAACGCCGCTTGCCGCCAGCGCGAACACTCCCCCGAATACGCAACTGTAGAGGTTCCTTTACGCCTGCTCCATGAATTACAACTTTAGCGAACGACCGCGCTTCTCACACGATCTGAACTTTTCCAGAACTTGAAGATTTAGTGATTTTCGATACCGGTTATTAAGTTTCTGATCAAAACACTGCCTATTATGACAAATTAAAAAGAAATTAAAAAAAATGTCGGGGCTTTAATGGACACTGTGAAGGTGGTTCGCCAGCGAAAATGTGATTTGACCTGCAACGACTGCCAACTGCACTTCACCAAATTATTGACGGAATAAAGTTAAATTCACTCTGCCAGAACTTTTTATATACAGGGTGCTTCACGTAAGAATGAAGAAAATTCCTAAAATTAGTGTATTCGAAATAAAAGTATAATTTTTTCGGAACCGCATTATTCGCGGTGGTGGATATCAGAAAACGCGCGATTTCGTTTTACTAGAGTTTCAAGTGACCGGTCATACGTGTTTTCTTTTTGGTTATTCCTTTGTTGAACTTCCTATTTTTAAGCTACTAAATGCTTGCTCATATTGCACACATTTCTCTAGTACATTCATATTAAAAAAAGAAAAAAGTTCCGAGTAATTGAAGTTATCTGTTATACATATTTGTAAAGAAAGTGCATTACAAATTGCTGCCGAAAAAAATTTAAGTGGCTATAACAAAATTACTTGAAAAAGTAACGAATTACCAGTTATCTGTTACTTGTAACGGATAACTTCCCAAATCTGCCAGCAGGCCAGCTTTTTGTAAATCAATAGGTAATTGACTGCATAACGCTCAGCTTCTTGAATGAGGCGGCAGCTTGGGCTATCTAGAATGCGTAGTTACCGCAAGATGACACGAAAAAAAAAAAGAAATGAAAAAAAACGAATGTTTTTTTATTCGGAGTTTTCCGCGTCACCAAAGTCATACACTACCACATGCAGCGTACACACACAGAACGAACACCAACCAACACACCGAACACTGGTACACGCAAACACACAGTGCCACAGCGCACAAAGAAAACACACCAGCCCCGTGACTTTCTAGTATAACCTCTACCGAACCTCTACAGACACGCTCGGCCAAAGCACTGCGGAAGCCAGGGAGCTCGTGCTGAAGGCGGAGCATCTAGTCTTAGCTTAAGGGTAGACGGAGTAAGATGAACACAAACAGTATTTGCAAGTATTACTGGTATATGAGTGCTCTTCGTGCTTAAATTATTATATTCTAGACACCCCCCTTAATCTAGCGTTTCGAAGGGCATCATGATATGAAAGCAATCGGCTAAGCTAACACCGCAAGGCGTGCTCCCGATCAGTTTCGGTTTGAGCACCACGCGGTGATAAGAATCCTCAAGCCATGTTGCCTCATGCTAGTTTCGGGCGTGTAATATAGCAACACAAGTTACAATTTCTCCATTCATAGTCTCATAATCGTTTATCTTGTGTTCATTTATTTATTTTTTTCCCTTAAATGCAATGGCTGAGAATAGGTGGCTGATATTGGTGCATGGGCAATTCGTCTTGTCTAAGGGGGCTGCACGAAATGTTTCTGCTCTTTTTCTTTCTTTTTTAAACTACACTGCCTGTAACCCTCAGCACGCATCGCAAGTTAACTGTAGCGGGCAAGCGCTGGCGGCACGTTTTTCAGTGTCGAGTAGCCGATGGGGCGCCCTACACGCTCCATCCTAAGAGCACCTGCATCAAACATCAAGCCGTCACGTAACAAATAATTGTATTGGGGTATCATTTGATAAAATGTCTAGCATAGCTAATTATTCTTTTATGTGCTGCTTTTATGTGCTGCTGGGGAATTGGAGCCGGCAGGGATCCCAGCATAAGTTCACCGTGCTTTTTTCGCATGCAGGCGACAGTCCTGTCGGCACTCTGCTTTATCAGTAGCGACGGCTTTGGCGGGAGTGGCCCATCAACGATCACATCAAGCATCTGGATTTCGACTGACTTCACGGCGAACGCCACCATGACATAAACGGTTCTGCATCGGGGGGCGTTCTTCAGTGTTCCCGTGGCTGCTACCCCTACTGCAACAAATGGACTATCCCAGCGGCTTTTTAAGACGACCGACGCCACCACTTCTTCGGGAATTGGAGCCGGCAGGGATCCCAGCATGAGTTCACCGTGCTTTTTTCGCATGCAGGTTGGTACTGTTTACTCTGGATATTATCCTAGAGTTTGTTTTTACCTGGCGGCTCCACCCAAGGACGTTTTCCTAATGACGTATACACGTTATAAGCATCATTGCTTTTATGTGCACCGTAGGTTTTGGAGAAAATTGGTATTTTTAGTATTGTTGTTATTACTGGCGGATGATGTCGAATTGAATCCAGGCCCCCCTACGAAGGCTGAACAGATGGCAAATATGGAATCCATGCTTATGAGCCTAACTGCTAGCATGAACAGGGTTACGACACAACTTTCTAGTATTCAAAGTAAGCAAGAAGAATTTGAAAAGAAACTGGACACCTTGATTAAGAGCAATGACCACTTAGAAAAACGTGTTGATGGTTTTGAGGGATTGACCAAAAATCTACAAGCACAGATTGATGCTCTTGAAAACCGCAGTCGAAGGTGCAGTCTGGTGTTTTACGGCTTAGATGATACGAGGAGCAATGAGACATGGGAAGAATTAAAGAACCATGTGCTACAACTATGTAATGATAAAATGGGCATCGACCCCATTTGGATTCAAAGCGCACGTCGGATTGGTCAATATAGAGCGAATGGGAAAAGGCCCATTATTGTAAACTTTGTGTCGTGGAATGAAAAAGAAAGCATATTACACGCGGGGTTCAAATTTAAAAATAGCAACTACAGTGTCTCAGAGGATTTTAGCAAAACACTTCGCGATAAAAAACGTATGTTATCGGATTTTTCTAAAGAAATAAGGTTAAGCAAGGCTAACAAAGTCTTTTTGTCGTACGATAAGCTGATCGTGAATGGAGAAGCGCATATCTGGGATACTGAACAAAAGAAGGCGGTCCTCGTGCATAACGATAGACATGTAAGAACACAAGAATGACATAGACCTTTCGCTCATACAACTTCTGATAATCTATCCATATCTTCAAATGCTCGCCCGACGGTTCTGTTGATAAACTGCCGCAGTCTTAAAAATAAAGTAGACGAGTTTTTCTGTTTAGTAGAGGCAATACAGCCATGCTTATTCATGGGCACTAAGTCGTGGCTCGATGACTCAGTGCTTAATAGCGAAGTGTTTCCTAAGGGCTTTGCAGTCTATCGTAATGACCGCAACGCGCATGGCGGTGGGGTGTTTTTATTGATAGACTCACGGTGGGCAAGCAGTGAGCTTCAAGTGCCGCCAAATGATACTGAATCTGTTTGGTGCCGAGTACACTTGCCCAAAGGAGGCACCCTTGTATTAGGCACTTACTATCGTCCCCCAACAATAAATAATATCGATGAACTTGGTCAAATACTGTCCACTATCTCTGATAGTTCTATTATTGTAGGAGGGGACTTTAATCTTCCGAATATAAATTGGGCAGGCACTGCATATACTTGTGATGACAGTTGCACCTTGTATAAATCTTTTAATGATCTCTTTATTTCATTTGCTCTAAACCAATTCGTACTCTCACCGACAAGAAAAAAACTCTATTTTGGATTTGTTACTGACGAATAACCCTAGTATTATTTCAAATGTCTCCATAATTCCTGGTATAAGTG